GGCTGTCGGGAGTTGGGAATGGGAAAGAAACTCTTTGAACAACTCCATCTTGCCTCTTTCCACTTGGTGTGCAAACCACCCGGTCCCCGTTTTGTACCGGGCGGGTGCGGTGAGACGCTCCGGCTTCGATCCTATTTATTTATTTTTTTAAGTGCAGTAATCTTGGGAGTTAAAAAGGTGATGATGTAGGTTAGGGGGTGTCTGATGGCGGGGTGCGGGCGAAGGTGTTTTCCGGCTTGAAAAATAAAAAGCAATGTTGAATTTGGGGTGACTTGAGAGCGGTTGCATCGAAGTCGGTACAGTTCTCCTCGGGAGTTGCTGCCTTAAATTAGGAATCACTTAACCTAAGCCTGTCCCTTACTCATCGGATGCAGTTTATAGGTTCTTTTCATGAAATTGCACTGTTTGCAGCAGATCAGTTGGAGGGGGGGGGCATGCTCTGTTTCCACTGCTTCAGTGTTGATTCTACTTGAGTTTTCTCATAGTCATCATTTATTTTTTTTTTTTTTTTTTTTGGTGACTTGTTCGGTTTTTTTTTATCTTTCGACTTCGTCTTTTGAAATAGGCATTCCTTGGCAGGTATGTAATCATATTTTCTCTGTCAAATCTGAACGAGGGGGGAAAACCCTCTATGCCTTACAATGTATATCGCGAGAATTTTTCAGCCATTTAGTATCATGGGGATGATTGTCACCCTTGACATGGAAAGACTTGTGGACATATAGTTTTAAGCATTTGACACAAGTTACGTTCTTTGGATTAAGAATACAAGACTAGCGCTTAAAAATTGGGTGAAGGATTTTTTCTGCCAGTTCTGGGGCTTGAACCAGGGCCTGGGCACTGTCCCTGAGCTTTATTTTGCTCAAGGCTAGCATCTTTACCACTGGAGCTACAGCACTATTCCGGCTTTTTCTGTGTATGTCGTAGTGAGGAATTGAACCCAGGGCTTCAGGCATGGTAGGCAAGCACTCTACCACTAAGCCACATTCCCAGCCCTGTTGCAGGATTTCTTGATAAATGACTTTAAGATTCTGCCTACATATGTAGAGTAGTGATGGCTTTTGGGGAACAAAATAGATTGGATGTGTGTGTATGTGCGTACGTGTGTGTGTGCATGCGTGCGTGTGTGTGTGTGTGTGTATGTGTATGTATGTGCGCACGCACGCGTGGGCCAGTACTGGGGGGCCTTGAACAAAGGCTCTGTGCTCTTGCTTTGCCCCACTGGCTCTCTACCATTTGAACCACACTTCGATATTGGTTTTTTTGCTGGTTAACTGGAAATAAGAGTCTCAGATTTATCTACCTGGGCTGGCTTTGAACATAATCCTCAGATCTGAGCTTCCTAAGTAGCTAAGGTTACAGATGTGAGTCACTGTTTTTGAGTCAGTACTTGAACTTAGGGCCTGGACATTGTCCTTGACATTTTTTGTTTGTTCTTGGTTGGCACTCTACCTACCCCCTTGAACCACAGCTCTACTTGGGACTTTTTAGTGGGTACTTGTGGAGTCTCACAGACTTTCTTCCCTTGGCTATCTTTGAACCAGGATCCTCAGAGCTCAGCCTTTTGAGTTGTTAGGGTTACAGGCATGAGCCACCTGGACCCAGCTTAGGATTGTTTTTGTTTTGTTTTAAATGCTGGTATTGAATCTAAAGCATAGTGCATGCTTAACAGGTAGGTGCTCTACCAATGAGCTACACTGCAGACCTGCAGCTTGTTTTGAGTCTAAATTAATGTTAGAGTTATAGCCTCTATTCAACTAAGAGAACAGTAATATGTTTTCAACCGATTTCTTCACAGACCTAGACTTTTAGCCTCTAAACTTAGACCCAGGACGTGTAGGCCAATCGCCTTTGTAGGTGTGAAAACCGGAGTCTCAGGGTAACTGAGGGGGACTAGAATTACTTTTTTTTTTTTTAATAATAGTTTTAATGTGCTCTCTTAACCATTGCATTAGAGTCAGCTAAAGTTTAAGGATTCTATACTCCAGTGTTTTCTCATTTTATTGAAGATTGGGCATAGTTTGGGAGAGAATCTGCAAAGTTCACTTGGCAAACATTTCACTTCTTTTTTTTTTTTTCTGGTCGGTTGTGGGGCTTGAACTCTGGGCCTGGGCGCTGTCCCTGCGCTCTTCAGCTCTTCAGCTCAAGGGGAGCAGTCTACCACTTGAACCACAGCACCACCTCCAGCTTTCGAGTGGTTTATTGGAGATAAGAGTCTCACGGACTTTTCCTGCCTGGGCTGGCCTTGAACCGTGATCCTCGGATCTCAGCCTCCTGAGTGGCTAGGATTACAGGCATGAGCCACTAGTGCCCGGCTAGCATTTCACTTCTTTAGCTTTCACAGTATACTTCTGTGCACCTGGATAGTCTTGATGTGGTTAATGGAAGGAGATAAATGGATGCACAAGAGTCCCTTCCTACTCTAGTTCTGGTTTAGGTATTTGGATCTTCTTGAGAGCACAATTTCCAGAGGAAGGCACAGAATTCCTTTATCCCAAACCAATGTAATTAGGCCTGGCTAGCCTATTTGCAGGCAACTGTGAGCCCTTCTGGCTTTAGAGTGAAAAGTGCATATAGCAAGTGAACAGTTTGTCTGCCATGTGTATGGTTTTGTTGGAGTATTTTTGGTCTTGAATCCTTTCCTGTCATTAATTTCCTTAAAGTTTTTTCTGGTCATGTTGGGGTGTAAGTTATGCTACTGAAAACAGGTAGATTTTTAGATGTTGTCTGTGGGTGAAATCTAGGTGGTGACCAGAGTCCTAAAGAAGAGCCTGTTGATCAGTGAGACACCAGATTGATACTTCAATTTGTAAGCGAAGTGATTTGGTTTGGTAGACTGTAGACTGCACATTTGGGTTTAATTTTATTAGTGATAATGATATACAGTACATAATCACTGGATTTAAAATTTAAGAGAGGCAGCTAGGCACTTATGACTCCTCCCTATAATCCTAGCTACTCAGGAGGCTGAGATCTGAGGATTGTGGTTCAAAGCCAGCATGGACAGAAAAAGTCTCAGAGACTCTTACCTCCAATTAAGCACAAGAAAATTGGAAGTAGCACTGGCTCAAAGTAGTAGAGAGTGCTAGCCTTGAGCAAAAAAAAGAAAAGAAAAGAAAAAAAAGCTCAAGGACAATGCCCAAGTCCTGAGTTCAAGCCTCACAACCAACAGTGAAAATTGGAGAGGTTTGGTATGATGTCAAAATCCTGTAATTCCCAAGACTGGGGAAATTAGGCAACAGGATTCAAGTTCAAGGTTAGCCTGGCTACAAATTGCAACACCTGACTTAAAAATTTCTGGGCCGGGCGCTGGTGGCGCACGCCTGTAATCATAGCTATTCAGGAGGCTGAGATCTGAGGATAATGATTCAAAGCCAGCCTGGGCAATAAAGTCAGTGAGACTCTTTATCTCCAATTAACCACCATAAAACCTGAAGTGGTGCTGTGGCTCAAGTAGTAGAGAGCTAGCTTTGAGCTGAAGAGCTGAGGGATAGGGCCCAGGCCCAGAGTTGAAGACCCGTGACCGACCAAAAAAAAAAAAATCCTGGGCTGGGAATGTGGTTTAGTGGTAGAGTGCTTGCCTAGCATGCATGAAGCCCTGAGTTCGATTCCTTAGTACCACATAAACAGAAAAAGCTGGAAGTGGTGTTGTGGCTCAAGTGATAAAGTGCTGTCCTTAAGCAAAAGAAATTCAGGGACAGTGCTCAAGCCCTAGTTCAAGCCCCAGGACTGGCCAGGAAAAAAAAATTCTTGCCTGGCACCGGTGGCTTGTGCCTGGAATCCTAGTTACTCAGGAGCTGAGTGAGATATGAGGATTGCAGTTCAAGGCCAACCGGAGCAGGAAAGACCACTAGACTCTAATCTCCAATAAATCACCAGAAAACTGGAAGTGGTACTATGGTTCAAATGGTAGATTGGCCTTGAGCAGAAGAGCTGAGGGACAGCACCCAGACCCAGAATTCAATCCCCATGGCCAAAAAAAAAAAAATTGCTAAATGTTTACCTTCTTATTTGTGTGTGTAAGTGTATGGTTCTGGGGCTTTGACTCAGGCCCTGGTTACTGTCTTTTTTTTTAAAAAAAATTACTATATGGATGATA